TTTCCATTTCATCTCTACTTAAGACGCTGCTGACCGTTTCGCAACTTGCTCATACTTTTCTTGTGTGAAATCAGTGACCGTATCAAAAAACATTTAAAAATATAATTAAATAACAACTAATCTAAACATAATGATTCTGACAGCGAGACGCTGCTGTTGAGATACCCTCTGGTCACTTCACTTCCTGGACCGATGTATACCGTAGTTTCAGACACTTAGTCCTCACGAACCCATCTAAATAGATGCTCTTCTAGGTGCTGAACATGCGGCTCCGGGTCGAGCATTTATTTCAATGAACTATATGGCTCACTCGGCCATGTACACTTACTACGCCATTACAGCCTATGGAGTGCGTTTGCCAAAATGGGTACGTGTTTTGAATTGTTTTCATTTTTTTCTTCCAATGTCACTTGTCAAATCTAAACGGCCACTGCGTAATCGTCTTTTTGGGTAGTGTACTACCGAAGTGATAAAAGGTGCTGTGTAATCTGGCATGCACATATTTATCAATTCCTATCCTCTTCGCGGACAGAAGCACTCAGTGGTAGCAAGTCGGGGCCTCAAGTTTAAGGCTACCGCCATATCCGTAATCCATTTTCACAGCTCGTGACTTTGGTTTTATGATCTTACACACGAATCTCTAGACACGCATAGGAAAAGTCGAAGGACGCGCGGACTAAAACTCCATCTATAGCACATTTTCAGTGCTGTCTCAACTTCAATCTACAGTAGGATGCTGAAGGTTTTCTGCATTGCCAGGTGCCCTTATAGGTGCAGTCGCCCTTTTTTTAGAGGATGGAGTGGGATCTACCAACATGCCCTCTTCATATGGCTTCTTTTACTCATATTCTAAAACGAATAGTGAAGTAAAGAAGCTCTTCATCTTGAAAGACTGATTCAATGACCTGCGCACGTGCAGTGCCGCGCGGCTGTTGCAGAGTAGACAGATGACAGACAAGGAGCGAAAATAGGACAGAGTTCTACACGGGGAGGTTGGCGCAGTTCGCGAACATGTGGTGACAGAGTTGGGTAATATAAGGTTCTACGCTCCAATTTCTTCTTTACAAATCAGTGGGTACTGACCTGAGGGCTTTCGCAGGGTTTTTTCAGACGGCCAATGTAGCAAAGGGCTTGAGTGGCACTTAAGGCAAGATCTAGGACCAGATATTTCGTAAGGTAATCTGCCCCAGCAAGTGTACGTTTTTGCTACAATAACATGAGAAAACTTTACTGGTCATTCAGTTGCTTTTGTTTAATAGAGTCCAGCTTCTCTCTTCATAAAACCTCGGCATTATTGATATGTTTAAGTTTTAATTTGTTCTGCCAAAGAGGTTGGTAGGTGGAAGACTTTATTATAAATGGCCTGACGTTTCGACAGGATCGTCGTCCTCAGAGGCCTAAACATAGCTCAAGGTTTGGATGTTGTATCCACTAGACCGCCAACGCTCGCCTCCTAGGGTTTTTTGGCGGAAATCTTATGGAGGAACAGAAAAGTCGAGTGTTGTGAGAAACGAACTTACCAGTCTACCACCACATGAGCGGAACGATGCCACTCGCTGTCAGTTGTCAGTTAGTAAGTGAGACACACTGTGCTGTCCTTATACAGTAAGTATAGTTAGGAACAGCACGTCTCACTGTTCACATCAATAGCTCGCAATGTGGCATAAATGGCAAGAGGTCATTTGTAATGGACAGACACTCATTTCGGTTGTTCATCCTAGGATTCCTTGCGGAGATCCAGAATGCCTCTAGCGCTTTTCTAGCTGAAATTTCAGTCTCGAATGCCAGAATTTTGCACTTCACATCAAAGTCGTTTCCGCCGTGCTCTTCGATCAAATGCCTGCCAAGCGGTGTACGCGTATTGCCGCGCCTTTTACCAGCGAGGTGCTCTTTGATACGTGTTCTCTCCAGTCTCCCCTATGTAAGTTGCGTTACATGTCTGACATTCAAGTTGGTAGATTACGCCACTTTTGGCGCAATCTCCTCCTAGTCCGTGCGGACATATGACGCAATGCTCTGATATGCACTGCTGTTCATTGGCCTATTTCGCACAAGTTGACGCTTGATATTATTGTTAGGAATACTCACTAACACAACATCGTTGTCTAGCTGTGCTCGAAAAAGGCATCTTTGAACAGCGGTCGGTTATTTTATCAGATATGAATGGTATACATAGGGGAATTTTGTCTTGGCGCGGGCCGCTTCGATGCTCAGTGTGAGTTCGTCCGCGATTTCGATTTCTTGGTACAGCATAGCCGTTTGAAGCAGCTATGTTTGAAGCAAGGCGTAATGGGGACTCTTGCCGCTCTTCCGCACCTGTGCGACACTCACACGTTTGCAGCCGTCCTGAACATATTCCTAACTACTGCATGTTTCGTGGCGGAAGGGTGAGCAGAAGTGGCATGAATCAGGATGTTCTTCGAGCTTGCTTTCCTGTACCACTTCACACTGAGCATGCCATCAGACACTTTCACCTTGGTTTTCAAATAGGGAAGCCAACCATTGCATGGTACCTCTCTTGTGAGCCTAATGTACTGGGACTGCTCATTCATTAGTCGGAAACACTCATCCATCTCGGATTGTGTCGATGTCACAATGAAGCAGTCATCTATATATCTACAGTACATTAGTGGCAAGCGTTCCAGTACTGGCTCTTCTATCCTGCTCATGAAGCAGATCGCGAGTACCGCCACCCCCCACGCCCCCCAACGTGTTAGGTATGACCATGGCTAACCTCTCGGTTTTGAGAAATAGTAGTACGACCACTTAAAGATGTTGCAACCCAAACATTCCTTGATCAGTGTCATGATGTGCGCCTTGCTGAGTCCAAAAGTCTCAATGCTCCTCACATGCATGTCCAACATCTCAGACAGTGCCTGCAGAGCTTGATCGTTCTGAACGTTGGTATAAAGCGAAGTGACATCAAATGACTCTACTACGCAGCTTGTTTCCAAGCGTAAATTGCGTAGTTGTTCAAGAAACTTGGTCGTGTTGGTGGTCCAGGTCGTGTGAGGGTACTTTGGCAGAACAACTGTGCCTCGCAATGAAGTTTAGGAACCATTGAAATTCAAAAAAAAACTGTACACAAGCAAATCGCTAAACAAAGTTTAGGACTCGTTCTATATACAAATTAACGAAAAACACAATACAATACAAAAGAATAAAAAGCAACTAAATGATAGAACCAAGAATCGTTTTTGATTTCGTTTTTCCATGTGCTTCTCACGTTCGAGAAGCTTGTTAATGTTAATAATTTGTCGGTGTGTCACGACCAATCAGCTCCTCATAGTCAGTGGGTTTTCCAAACACCCTTTCCACGTACTGATACTCTTTAAAGGTTGCAGTAGCTTTCAACTGGATTCTTTCATGAATCAAACGGCGTATTGCTTGTACTGATAGTGGGGAAACTTTTTAGTCGCGGTGAGCTTTCATATACTTTGTATCTTCGGGCGCAACATCTTTACTATCAGCATTAATGACATAGAAAAGTGCACAACACCGGGTAAAGGTTTGGAGACAACTCTCTTATTGGTAGACGAGTTTACGTATTGACAATATTGATATATTGCTGTTTATTTCCAACTGGCTTTCAAAAACCATTGAGAGTATTGATTCATTTCGGGATCGAATACATCATTCAAAACAATTTAGTAGTCTGTATTGCAATACCGCCCATTGAGTCAAATAACTGCGTGCCAACGTAATGTTGGCAAAGGCCAAACATTCTACTTCATATATCGGCCGTAGGGAAAGGTGGACGCAGCTAGACATTTGCCAATGACTCGTTACTATACGAAGTCACGTCGCTTAACTGGCGTACGCCGGCTCTCAAGCTTACTAGGAATGGATCAACACAACCAATAAAAACAGCTGTATGACTCTCTGACTCCTCCACTGGCATGTTATATGCGACTACCAGCGCTGTCTTGATGCGATTATGTGCTGTCGTCTTCTGTAATCCTTGATGATCTGATCTGGCCAATGCGAAACATGACAGCACAATACCTTCTAAACGAGCAATATCAAGAATCATCATTGCGTCAACGGGGCAAGCTGAATACCGTCATCGCAGAGTTCTCTGCATCGGTGTCTTAAGTCAATTTCCCACTCAGCCTGCTTGGCCTTCACCGAATTATACAATTGCTCGCACCTCGAAAAGCAAGCCATCAGAATTAAAGTTCCTGACTTAAAGCAAAAATCAACAAATCTGGTGTGAGAACGGTTCAATAGGACAAAAGCCAATAAGTCGGATCATATAATGTTATACAGCATATTCGTATTTGGGTGGCGGATCACAAGGTTTTTAGTTTGATGACGACTCAACCGCCAAATTCAAGACAATAATCGGGCTTTCGTTGTTGCAGAGGCGTTTTGTCAGAGCTTCATACGCTGTGACATGTGAGTAAGCTGATCGAAAAATATTATCAACACACTCAGTTCTCGAATCCGACATGTTGATATCGCAACGCTAATATTACAGCAAAAATCTGATGAATGCAACTTAGGGGTTACCTAAATTCGATCAGTTGGTCCTCCCACGCAACTTATAATTGGTCGTATCTTGAAAGTGCCCGGTGACGTGGACTGCATTTCACTAGGAGCAAGTTTGTGGGTTTTCACGAGACTGTAGAAGACAGGACAAATCGGACAGGCACGCCATCTTTGTGATCATCACAACAGGGGGGTCGTATTTGCCCGCGATGGAGGGGGGGGGGGTCGTAAACGCATGGCCCATGTTGAAGTGGAGAGAGCGGTGATACACGGTACAAGTGAAAAGAAGCTCAAAAGGGACGATGTAGATGACAATAAATAGAACTAGGCACTATCGAACTATTCCTAGGCCAAAACTAAAAAAAATATTGCTGAAACTTTTTCCTCCTTCCTCACAAAAAAAACTTCAAGACACTTCGCCCACCAACCCTCCTCATCTGGTCTAGGTAAATCCCAATCCACTAATCCGCAAAATCTAGAAAAGAATCATTGCAAAAGCCTATGAAAACAGGATAGAAATTGAATCCCTGCCTCACAACAAAATCCAAAATTCAACAAAACAAAATTAAAATCAACAAAAAACATAACAACAAAGAACAATAAAATGGATAAGAAAAACTCGACGCTCCACGTGGAAACACGGAACTAGGCATAACTTTTGAATTTTGGGCGCGCTCATACAAGCGCATTGGTGCGCGCTATTTTACGGTTTGGAGCCAATTTCAAGCCAAACACGTGAAAAGTACCCCTCATTTGAACACCCATAACTTCGTTGAAAGTGAAGCTATCGGAGAGGGGTAAGTGGGAATGAGTAGAGCTAGGTTGGCTCTTATCACCTGAATTGAGCGATTTCAAAAACGTTCCGATTCCAGAGATTTTCCCCGTTGTGATCATCTTTGTGATCCATCGAATGCTGATCATTTTCGCGTAACCGCGAGCGCTACGCTGTTGGGACGATCCATGGCTAAGCTTCATATCACACCTTTCGTAAAAAAAAACGGTGCGGTAAGATTCGATTGATTTTCTAATTGCCAGCATAGGTGGGGGGGGGGGGGGGGGGGGGGGGGGGTTAATTCTTCCTAGACCTACTATTCGAAAAAATTTCCCGTTGTGATCATTTTGTAATCACCCCCACGACACCGAAAATCAACCCCTCCGAGGCCAGGAAACCTCCAGTTGGCTCGAAAACTTTGGTATGCTTCTGAAACACATGTTTTCGTCAAGCATATCAGGTAATAGGCCATTGGGCGCCAATTGGCATCACATATGCAATGCGCCATGCATGGGGCTTTCACGCAGGTGTTTGAAAGGTGTAACTTCTAGATAGGGCTTCCCAATTGCAAGCAAATGTGCTCCTACGATCAGAAAAGTCCGGGAAT